AAAAAAAAAAAAAAAAAAAAAAAAAAAAAAACCCTTAGTTGCCCACTTTTCCATTTTAAGTCATTTAAAGTGTTTATTCCTATTTTACCCATAATTACAATATATATTACAGTTTTATATATCTATATATGGAAACAACCCATATTACAATAAGTATGCTTAATTTTGATGGTGGTTAATTATGGATAAATATGAAAGTTTATCAATTAATTATTACATTTTATTTTATCAGAGAAAAAAAGGTGGGACAACTAAAGTTGAATGGAGGGAGTATATATTGAGCAGGGCATTTTGTGTAATTTTACAGGGGTGAAGTAGGTGATGTTATTACTGGGGAGATCTCATCGTTGGGTAAATCTCATTACTAGTTATTTTCACAATAATTTTGTTATAATTTTATTAATTTTATTAATTACTATTGATATTATATCATTATTTTTGTCATGACAGGGAAAGACAAATTAACAACAAAATTTAATGAAAGTCATCACCATGGTGATGTTAATCCCACCCTTTGGTGGATTTCAGATCACCCTTCTTGAGTGACGCTACCACCCCCACTCTCACCCTCCCCGCCCCTCCCCCCCCACCCAGCTCCCCATAACAAAAATATGGTTTTAACACCCTAAATTTTTATCACAATGTTTCCTAGAGAAAGGTGATCCAGCTCCTACAAATAGATCAAGGAAGATATAAGGTTGATCACCCCATACAAAATGCCCCCTATATTCACACAAATTAGTAACTCATTCTATGTCTAACAACCAAAGCCTCCAAGCAGGAGAAAGAAACCAACTCAAAAAGGGCAGTTCCTAAACTTCCATAACTAATGATCGGATATCCTATAACTCAGTTCATAGACACAATCAAAGGGCCACAAAGCCTAAAGTCAAGAAAAATTATCCTAAACTATCAGAAATGATGATGCAACTAAAATGTTCCCTCCTTAGAGAATCATTTGTAACCTATAAGCACTAGATATAGGTTATGCAGCTTGGGAGGCTTTTTCTGATAAAGATTGCACATCCAGTAGTAATAGTTAGCAGCATGTACCAAAATAATAACCAACAACTGAAGTTCGAATGGAGCAAAAATAACAAATAAAACAGATCTCTTCAATGCATCAGACAACAGTTTAAAAGTTACCAATCAAGTAATATAACCAGAAAATATAAAGATTAAGGAATTATTGAACATACCTGAGACGCTTGTATAATAGTTAATACTGCCACACCAAAGAAGAGGAAAAAATCCACAATTAAAAAGGATATGGCACCAATGTGATGAGTGCTAGCATGTTTTATCCATGCACCGAATGAAGAGGGAGCTACTGGATCAGTCAAAATTCCTAAATGCAACAAAATCAATGGCATTAAGTTGAAATATAAGTTGAGAACCTAACTTCAGAAACTAACTCAAATTTAAAATCAATTAAAAACATACTTGTCAGAGTAACTGCACCAGTAACTAACATTGCTGAGACTTCTAAAACAAGAAAGATAAAGAAATCCCATTTGTTTTTCTGCATCACAATGAACCAACAAGGCAACAAGTTACATCAATCAAATCCTAAATAATATAGAGGTGAGAAATATACTACAATTGTAATTTCTAAAGATCCAAGTAAGGAAGAAGAGCGCCCTAGATAGCCTAATGCTTCAGGATCATGATAAAATGAGTGAAGCACATAACTGTTTTTCTCCATTTGACATGATATCTCAGTGAAAAGTGGAAAAGAAATAGCACAAGACAATAATAAAAGAAACTAGGGAAAATGATATGTAATACATCAGCATAAAAGCACCTTGCCAACACAATTAGAAACCCAAGGGCAATGATGATCAAATTGTTCAACACAACGGTCACATGTAGAACAATGCTTTGCACGATGAGGCCTGACAATCTGATAACAGCATAAAGTAATATAAGAAAATGTTCAGTGGTGGTAAATATCATCACCAAAAAATTTATCAGGGTTTCAAAAAAAAGGTCTAGAAACCACCTTGCATGTTGCACAAAGTTGAGACCAGTTACCAGCAACCAAAGCAGGATCATTAATTTTAATCCTTAACAGGGGTTCCTGATAAAGAAGTCATATAGAAAAAGTTAGCAATGGTCAGGAAATGCACCAAGCCTCTTTAATAGGTTCTACTTCAAGTTGAAAGAGACAAAGTTTGTAACAGTAAACTATCAGATTTCCATACGAAAAGAAGCTAAAATTTAAACCCAAAAAAAGTGAAGAAGATATTAAAGCGAGAGCGATGAACGCACATCATCTTTCATACTTTGTGAACCATGACCATTCATCCTGATATAACCGGGATCCTTGCTGCAAAGAAATTTGAAAGGAAAAAAATGAGACAGCTAAGTATATGCACAAAAGCATAGAAGTTTCTCCAGTCAGCTCCAGTGACATATGGTCTCCTTAAAGGTCACTGCTAATCACAATTCTGAAACATCATAAAGTAAGTTTTCAGCAGACTCATTACTATGGATTAACATCAAACATACAAAAGATGAATAAGATAAAGATAAAATCAACTTATCAAGTGCTAAGCTGAATTGAAGGTCCTCTTAATTCAGATGGTGCCAAGTATTTATCAAATTCAACAAAGTTCTTTGACAGAACACTAATAAAGGAACCAGAGAACAGGAAAAACATTAAAAATCTTAGTTGACAAAATTTTCAACAGGGTACAATACACAGAGACCTATACTTTAGTTTCTCCCAAATGAGAGCCATTCAAGTATTAAAAATAACCGAAAAAAATAAGAGAAAAATTGACATCAACATCAAATTTTGAGACAAAAACAATGTTGTAAAAAGCATGCTTGTTTTGGGCTTTTGTATGCACCTAGTTGATTAGGCATGGCTTTGCGCCAGAAGCATGACTGGGTGCAATCAAGGCATGATCAGTTGCTAAGCAAATTAATACTCAATCTCTCTGCATTATTGATGCGTTTATGCCAATTCTTGCAATTAAACTTGTTCTGTTTCCCCTCTTTATTATTATTTTTTCTTTTCTTTTCTCTTTTTTTTTGGCATTTAAAAAAAAAAAGAAGGAAAATAATAGAAAAATGCCTAGGTAGCCTAAGCACCAGGCAGTGCACTAATGCCTCAGCATCACCTAGTGCTTTTCACAACACTGGCCAAAATAAAATAAAAGTTGCATTATTAAGAGATTAATAGACCTTGCCCCTGACACATCCTTTAGTCACATGTCAAATCCAAACATTAATGGCTCCTAAACCCAAAGCCCAAGTGGGTTGAAAAAATAGTCAAATACAAGATAAGGAATAAGAATCCAACAGCAGAAATTTGAGAACTAATTGCACTAAATATTGGACTTGAAATACAGTGAGGATCTATTTTACTACTTTTCAACATTTCTTTGTTTATCTTAATTAGTTCCACAAACAAATTTCTTTTCAACAGATCCACAAACAAAAGGTAATTTATCAATGATGTTAAAGAAAATCTCAACATCGAAGTTAACTAGGGGTGCAAGTTGGTCCTGGTTAATCCAGAATCCAAACCAGTCCAATCCAATCCATTGGGTTGGATTGGATTGTTGACATTTTGGTTTCACATTGGATTGGATTATGGTGGATCCAAAATTTAAAGGTTTGGATTGGGTCAAAACCATGGGTTAACCATAGAAACCGCAGATTAAAACTTAAACTTAATAAAAATTAAAATTTATCTAGGGACAGCCACATAGGAAAGATATCCATCTCTTCTTCAGCGCCCTTCACCCAACCATACTTCTCTCATCACATCTCAGAACCCTCTCCCTTTGCTAACTCTTTGCTGGAAACTTCTTCCTTCTTCCATTTTCCCTCTTTGCTAACCGAGACTCACCCTCTGTATCCGTCCTTCACCTTGAGCAGAAACCAGCAACCACCAGGACAGGAAACCATACTCAGCAACCATAAACAATGAAGGCAAACCCCAGCCGAAGAATAATCAGTAACAGCGGAGAGGAGTGTTGAATTGAGAAGGGGCGGATTGTGATTTGAACTTTTGAAGCAAAGAGTTGAGAAATTGGGGCCAAGAAAGAAGAGTATGGTCTGGAGAATGAAAATCTCAGGAAATTTAGATGAGAAAATGAGAATTTTTATTCATAAAAATATTAGTTAACAACTCTGATGAAAAAATAAAAAAAAATAAAAAAAAAAGAGAGAGAAAATACTTGGTCATGGATGGTCTGGTTAATCTGTATCCAATCTAGAATCCATGGATTTGGATTGGATTGGATCCATGAAATATTAGTTCTGGTTTGGAACCAGATTTCATTGAAACCAATAGTTTTAGTTTGGATTGAAAACATATCCAAACCTGTGGATTGAGACCAAGTTGCAACCCTAAAGTTAACACCAACCCATGTTACTCAAACTTAGTACACGTGATACACATCCACCAATTTTCGACATAGATAAATTTTCTATATTCGGAATTTCAACTTTAAATAGAAAGACCAGTTGAGGCATCCAGTATGTACCACACACAACACAACACAAGTATGTAAAGGGCCAGATTTATGTATATGCTAGCCATATTAAGGTACATACGCACATGCATGACATACATGTGTGTGTGTGTGTATCCAATCCAATTATCAGGAAACAGAGTTGGACCATAGAAAAGTTCTGCACAATGCATAGTGCATACCTGCTACACCTATAAAACATAACCAGCCCGGCAGATGCTAGTAAGACACCCAACCATGCAAAAAGGCCAGATGCAGTTGTTAAATTTGGCAGATATGATGCTGCAACCAATGTTCAAGAGTGTCCATAAGTAGGTAATGATGAGACCAAGAGAATAGACTTCTTATTAAAAGATATGGGGACATACTCACTAAAACGGATTGAATATAGGTCATGAGCAGGAGCAAGATTACAAGCCAAAGTATGGGTGCAAGTCCTAATTTTGAAAGTCGTCCAAAATGGCTGTTTCCATCACACCGTTTTTCAAGCAACCGTCTAGCATTTCCCTGCAGAACAGGTGTATAAGAAACCTCTATGAGGTATAAAAGTGGCAGCAAATTTATATGAACACATAAAACCTTCCAGGTTCTTAGAGACAACAATAAGAACATCTTGAAAGAAATTATTCAAACAGGTTAATCTCAAGTCAAAATAGTTCTCATAGTGATTTTTTTTCCTTTAAAAATTCAGATAGTCAAGTTAAAATGTGCAAAACCGTCCCACCAATACAGCAAGATATGAAGTTGCGTTGTCCAACAAAAATGAGAGGTTCTGAGAAGAACAAACAAAAAGTTAACATGCAACGCCTAAAAAAAATATATAAGTACTATAGCAAGGTGCTCAAGAACTGGAAAAAATTCTTGATTTTTATGGAAAAACTTGTGCAGTATTCTTTGTCTTGCAATAAAGGGCCACAATCAATGTCATGCAAACAAATAACTACCAGCCAAACTAGCACTATTAACCAATTAAAAGTAAATGGACCTACAAGGAAAAAAGCAACTTGTCTGTGATTTTTATCAGCTGCAAGCTGTGCTGGTGTTAGGCCAGTGTTATCAGTAACCATTAGGTCCTCCTTCTTACCAGCTTGCACTAGTACCGTGCAAGCTTCTAGGTTACCCCTAATAGCTGCCCAATGGAGAGGAGTGCAACCTGATTGTAAAGATGAAATATTGTTAAGGCACACGAGATAAGACATGTTAACATGAAAAACTTTTCCTGAGTAAAAATTGTTGCTTTTGATTAACAAAGTGAAAATTCCCTAAAATGACACTTTACATGTCATTGTGAAAAACTCACCCTCTTTGTCCTGGCGTCCTCTATAGGCATCCAGAAATAAAAGTAGACGTATACAATCAGAAAAACCTTTATAAGCAGCCCTGATGTCATCCAAATAGAAAAACATATTAGAACCAAAATAACAGATCATTAATATAAAGAAAATTTTACTTCATACAAATGTAAGTTTATCAAGGAAAATATTTAATATATAAAATGAAGATAACACCCAATTCCAATTCATAGACCAGGTGCAATAGTCTTCTCGGGATTTTTCCTTTTTTATCTCCTCTATTTATTTTCCTTCCTTTTGGGTTGGATTAGCTAGGGTAGATGGGGACACACTGCACTATATCATGCTAGAACAATCAGAAGTGAAGAATATCAAGAATTTTTCAAAGTCTTCATGTACCAGTGCAAAGGACTTCTTCCATCATTATCAGGAGCATCAGGGTCAGCATTCCATCTTGAAACAATATGATAGAGAAAGGCAGTCTGACCATATTGAGCAGCAACATGTGTTGTCTGCACCAAATCAAATTGAAACAAAAAAAGCATCTATCAATCTGGTAGCCCAAAAAAAAAAAAAAAAGAACAAAAATATATATAACTTTGAGAATTTTAATTTGCTATACTTTGAGCAAGTAATAGTACAACACCATCTTAGCCAAAAGGTCTGCAACAGCATTGGTGTAGTACTATTATTTTGTTAATTTGTAGCCAAAAGATGGAAACTACTTTAGCTTACTCTTTTGTTATTTTGGAACAATGTCCTACTGATATATGTAACATGTATTATCTTGATGTAATGGGGAACTCGATTCCCAGGAACATTATTATCTAATGCTATTCCCATCTTTATTTTACCAAAAAAAAAGTACAACACCAATCCATGGCATAAGACGAGAAAACAACATAAGAAAACTTGAGATAATTAAGTTGGTGATGGCAAAAATCTGAAAAGCTTTCCAGGAATTATCATAAATGCTTAACAAAGAAAAACTTCGTACCTACATAAATGTTTTCCAGTAATCAAAAACAAAACAAAAAAAATAAGGCAATGTAAAATAGAAACAAAATGGGAAAAGGTGAAAATTCCTTATATGGAAACAGCAATCTAGATTTGATAGTTCATTAAATCCAATCAGGTAACAAAAATAAATTTGAGAGAGAGAGAGAGAGAGAATGAAAGTGGAGGCCTGACAAACAAGGAAAGAAGTGCAAACATTAAACTGGCTTGTATCTTTCCCCTGCAAGCAAACTTCACTTCATTACCAGCAAAAGAATATCAGAAAGTACAAAGTAATCAAGACACCATAACACGGTAAGTGATACTTTCAGTCTGTCAGATTGCAAATGGAAAGAAGATAAAATACGAAGTCAACCCTAGCTATGTGAACCATGTTCATAACAATTCACAACAAAAATAGAGGGAACTTGCTTAAACATCAAAACCATCAATGCAACATCAACTCATGGAACAGCATGCAATGTTAAGTGTAGGACAGATTGTGCGTCTAATGTATATACATGTATAGGCAAACAAAAGCACACAAATGTTTAACACAGCTAACTCTTTTCAAACATAACTCTACACCACTATATACTCTTCCAAATCAATGTACAGATTTTTTTCAAAAACTGCCAGTAGACAAGGTACCAGAACAAAGAAGACCAGACTAACCTGATAACCATTTATATCAACAGCATCCACACGAGCACCCTCTTGAAGTAAAACTTCAGCAACTTGTATTGCACCCCGGACAGCACTCCAGTGCAGTGCAGTCTGCCCAGTGTGATCTGCAGCATTTACATCCCCACCATGCTGGCGTATTCAAAAGGCCCCAGAACTACTCAGAGTTGCATTAATCCAAATAAATTGCAAACAACTCAAACAACTTCAAAGATCAAATTGAATAAAACCAATAACCTAATCAACCTTTCAGAATGGATAAGATCTGATTCCATGAACGCATTAACAACGCGAATATAAAACAAAAAAGAGAAGATCCCTAAAGTTTACAAACCAAGCCAACAAGCAATTCAAACGAACCCAACAAAAAGAACCAGAATAGAGAATCCAAAAAGAACCCATAAAAACCCCAGAACGCTACAGTCAAGAACCTAACTATCTTAAGGGAGAACCCAATTTCACAAACGGATGAATATTAAAAATATATATATATATATATATCAAAACCTAAAGGCCAATCGATAAAGAAAAAGAAATGAAAGCTATGCAAACCTCGATAATAAACTGAGCAGCAGCGGTCCTGTTATTCAAAGCAGCCCACTGGAGTGCATAGTAACCTAGCGCATCAGGTTCGGACACAGAGCAGCCCTCGCACTCCACCAATCTGTGGAGTTTCTCCAAATCCCCATAGGCAGCCGCAGTGTATACATCGTTCCTCAAACTGTCATCAGCAAGAAAACCATTTCCCTCTCCTCCATTGGTTGCAGCAGCACCGCGACCAGATTGGTGGGAAGAAGATTGAACCTCCTCGACGACCTCAATCTCCGAAGACATTTCGTAGATTAGGACGACGGTTTCAGTTCGATTGCATCAAATTAGACGAAAATTTAATCTGCTGACTTGGTTGTGAGACGTAGGAATGGGGAATCTGAGAAGGTTTTTCCTGGAAGGAGGAATGAGGGTTTGGGTGGTTTCTCGCTTGGCGTGTTGACTGGGAAGAAATCAAGGGAGAGAACGAGAGAAGCCAACCCACTTGCCTCTGCATATCCGTGGTCAGGGGGTTCATATGGATGCAATCCGATTAATCCGTCCATTAATCTGTCTTTGGCCTTTTTGTTACAGCGGTCAAAATTCAAACCGATAATGAATAGCTGTAGTAGATAGCGGGTAATGAG